GATGATGATGATGATGAATCGTGAAAATAAAAATCGTTCAGCTGTAGCGCCCTTTCGGTGCCTAACTGCTATGTCATCCAGAGAAAGCACGAGGGCCGAGAAAGCACTGCCAAGTTGCCGAAGCCTAGACAGAGGAAGTCGAGAGATAGAGATCGGGTTCGAACCAAGGACCTTCCAGTCAGTAAATTCGTGCTCTGACCATTAAGCGATTGAGCCCCGCTCGGAATAATCCAATATCGAGTCTACTGCACGGGCACATGGCTGGATAGATTCAAAAGGCTTGTACATCAGTAGGAATCCAGAAGCTCGTAAACTTAGTTCGATAGGTTGTCAAGTATAAACAGATTCGGGATACGTCAGTCAGTCAACAGGTTTTTATCAGCTTTATACTGCAGTTTAGATCCACGGGAATTAGGAAAGCATGGTAAACATAGCCAGACACTGGAGACGATCGCAACCGGCTAGTTGACGTTGAATCAGCCTAGATAACTGAAGAGCAGGAAAGCTGGACAGCTACATGCTGAAGGCGACAGCTTTCGTGCAGGGATCCACTGACTGCCACGTCTGCCAGTGTCATTAGGCACTAGAGAGTTGAGTCCAGAGGTCCACATACAGGAGGCAGCATTTGTCGTCTCATTTACGTACTTCGTCGCCACATCATACACTGCCGCCTCTCGGTCATTTCCATACAGCACAGGGCTGGGTGGAAAGAGCTCTGACAAGCAGGCGGTCCTCAGGTATGTCCTAACCAACGTAACCTATGGGACGTGAGTAGCTCGTCCAACGTAGGGGAGTTCCTTTTCCCTAAAACCGTCTGGCGTAAATTGATATTGCTAATTCACGTTCCAGTTTCACCCGACCAATGCTTCAGAGACACCAACCTTCAAACACCGAGAGTTCCGTAAGTCCTCTGTTTGCAGTCATGAGTATGGTACGTACGGTGGTATGAATCGCACTTCCTCAGTGTGCGTTCTACCCTTGACAGGCAAACTGACATCACGTCGGTGCGACGTGTTAGAGGGTGGCGAAAGTTGCTCCGACCTTCCAGAGAAGTGATCCCATTTCCAGGATACACACTGGAAGGCGTAAAACTGCTCAAGTGGATAAATGTATCTACCACGTCGACTGGCTGGTCCGTAAGTATGAGGTTCGGGTTTGACCTGACCCAGTCCTTTACATTGTAGGGTACTAAACAACGCGACAGAATTACTCAGGTTAACTAAAATGGCTTGCACCTCCTAACCAAAGACAGACCGAGAGGGCTGTGGTTAAAGTGCCAATTAACTGATCCAACCTCGACATACCAACTGATCCTGTCTAGGCTTGGACAACCTGGTGGAATCCCGGACCTCATGTTGCCTTAAGGTGGGGTGGCATTTGATCACTGCAAAGATGTCACAGCCGAGCCGGTGTTATTGTCATTATTATTGTCAAGAACCACGTAATCATCTACGTACCGGGCAAACGCTCCAGGAACATTTCAATTCCCAGGAGTCCGGTGGTAAGCGAAATTCCAAGCGGCACGTCAACAACAATATCCAGGTGTTGGGAGAGGGCAATATTATATCACGCCACTAGATGCGATAAACTCAGGCGAAAGACTGCTGTATAACCATGAGAGCCCATAGATGTTTGTACATAGCGTTCTTCTCAAGAATAAAAAGTCGGAAGTGAGAACATCATCAGTAAGATCAGAGAGGGCGACATCAGTATTGATGCTTACGATCCACTGCCGCACAACCACAAGGTTAATGTAATCATATAGAAAAGCGTTAGAATGAAAGGAAGAGAGGGTGGATAGGTGAGGGGATCTGCTGCCTGCCTATCTCAAGCATTTTAGTTGCCTACACCTTCAAACGCTTAAACAGGCATCACGAACGCCATTGATATCGATCAGTTACCATTCCCTGTAACGTCTCTAGGCAAACACACGGAGGGTGTGACAAGGACCCCATTATGGAAGATGCTTCGCGCCATAAACACCAAAACTCCCCTTGACCTCTTTCAAGCCCTTCCACCAAGTCGTACGCTGTTCACCCCGCGGCTCGCACCATTCGGAAGGAGGCACGAAGAACAAAACTCGTCTAGGTGGGTGGCGTTCAGGCAGCGTAGCACATAGCCAATCCGATGAAGCTATTGGTGCTGGATGTTTTTTGATGTTTGTTTTGAAGTACCCACCGCAAGACCAAATACCCGTTTTATAATTATCTCTGCTATTCTACACCAGCAATACTTCTGAGGCATCAGTAGTCAAAAGACTGAAGACGCCTAACATCATCTGCACGGGATATGCTCACAAACACCTAGGACAAGTGTGTTGAAAGAGCGTGGTTAACAGCACTGACTACAAGACGGAATCGAAGGCGCGCCTGAAGCCAACTTACACCAAGATTGTGGGTTATCTGTACATATGACGTTGATCTAACACCTGACGGAGTGTGAAGATATGATCGACGCAGCCACTACCGTGACAGAAACCCAACTGATGCTCACGGATCGAAAACTCGCGTGCCTGTGTAAGGGGACCAACATTTAGAGATGACAGAAGCCTGGTTACAACCGTAGTTACTTTGGTAGTATTGTTGATACACTCCCGTTGTCCGAGATGGTTCTTTCTCCCAGATAGGCCCAAATAAGCTAGATAGTCACTACCAGCGCTGAACAGGGCTAATGGACGACCGTCACTAACAGCAGCATGATGACCTTTGAGTAGAGATATACCCTCGGGCACCTTTGAGGTTGAAGGCGACTCCATATTCAGTCTACCTTTCTGATGAAGGCTAGCATTCAGAAGTTGAGGTAGCGGGTGACCAACTATTCTCAAAGTAATGATTCCGAATGTTGTCCAATGGTTCAAATGTTCTCCTTTGCTAGGTATCAGAGAGTCATCCTGGTCCCTGATAGTTTCGCTGAAATGAGGCTTCAGAGGAGCAGAATCGATAAAATAAAAGTCGTCCAGCTGTAGCCCCCTTTCGGTGCCTACCTGCCATGCCACACGAAGGAGGCACGAGGGCTGGGATACTGCCAGGTTGCCCAAGCCTAGACAGGGGAAGTCGAGTGGCAGAGGTCGGGTTCGAACCACCGACCTTCCGGTCAGTAAATTCGCGCTCTAACCACTCGGTCCATCTCGCCCCCGGAGCAGAGGACCAAACGAATCAAGTATAACATCCCATGGACGTTCCGGACATTTTTCGCGCCATCCAATTCTTCGGCTTCTTGAGTCCTTCAAGCCCCTTAGTCCGCATGGACATTCAATTTCACCTGGTGTCGGATGATATGTGGTGTTGCGCTGTGGTTGCGGTCACGAGAAATCTGTGGTCGGCCTCCAGCAAAGCCACTGCCCTATCAGAGTTCCGATCTTTGTATAAGGTTGGCTGGGTTGAACCGAAAACGCAGGTTTCAGCTTGTTGTATATTTGCTCTGTTTTTAAACGCTTCATAATTTATTGCTAAATCACTTTCTTCCGTTTTCAGCTCTCAGTGTCAAAGTTTTTCATGAATAAAGCCTAACTTTCGGGCCCTCGGTCGTTTCCATTGTCATTCTGATTGTCGTTGCACTCTATCCGGCGTTGTACACAACACAGGTTTGAGTAGCACTTTGGATGTGTTCCCACTGGCTATGAATATTTGACTTTGGACCGACTCTAGGTGTTCGAGGAGCGGTTGTGCTAGATTCTTTTGATTTCTGGCTCCACTATATTCTCAACGGATAAACGAAGTGTGTTTCGCGTGGGCCTGAAAAGAGCAATCAAAAACAGCAGCGGAAAAGTGCATGGTCGGAATCCACACTGGTATTCAAGAACGAGCGGCAGGCACTGATTGACCCTCACCACCGGTGGCTGACGGTGATGAAGTCTATTTGGACTTGCAGTTTTGGACAAATAAAGCATAGCTTCTAGGCCCTGAGTCTTTGCCGCTGCGCTCCATTTCTCGTCAAACAAAAACACGTTACCAACCGAAACATGCAGAGGTGACTAGCAAAAGGTGTCCATCCAAGTAGAGCCACTTCTGCTCGAACGTTCAATGCAATGCCCAAGCCGGCAATTAGAGCTGCGGCGTCCTCCGCGTCACCAAAGGCACACAGCCGGAGTCTGCAAGTGGGAGGAAAGTCAGAAGAACAATCAGGGTACCCGATAAAAGCCTTAGGCTCAAAAGTCTGGGCATAAGGCAGCGATATTGTGTGGGAAATGCATAGTACATAGTACAAGATGCCACACAATTTAGAAACTCCAACCCGGAGGGCCAGGAGACTGTGTTGTTTAGAGCTCCGAACAAAATGGTATGTGAGATTGATTACCACAGATGCCATAGAGCATAGCTCAAAGGGTCAAGAAGGCACACAAACCGTCACACCATGGTAAGTTCCGGTCTCTTCGTGAAAAAAAACACCGTTGATTGTCGAGAACCGTAAAAAAGTTCTGACGACTGACAGTGAAAAGCAGCCTTCGGATAAGGAAAGGCGACTATTTTGGGAGATATGAGTGACGCTGTTCTAGAAAATGTCCGAAGGTAAATATACGGTCGACGCATTCCCGGCGAGTGATTCTGCTTTTTTCAGTAATCGATTAACCTGTAAAAATAATATCAGAAAGCACCTTGGATGCCACAGCTATCAGGTTGTGTCAGGAAGCGCAGTAAGAATAATCTCAGAATGCCAGAAATAAACTGAGAACTCCAATTTCACCATAATCGCAACAATAAACTTGGCAAGCCGGGCCAGAAAAACAAAAAAACGTTCAGCCGTAGCACTCTTTCGGTGCTACCAGAAAAAAGCACGAAGGCTGGGATACTGCCAGGTTGCCCAAGCCTGAGTGGGGGAAGTCGTGAGGCAGAGGTCGGGTTTGAACCACGGAGTACGGCAGTGAAGCATCGGTGTTGAACACTGATGTCATGCTGTCGATGATGATTGAATCACGGACGTCCCAGTCAGTAAATTGCGCTCTAACCACCCAGCTACTCCCCCCCCCGGTGGGTATATAAAGGAGTATATGGATTAAGCATGTCTGAAATGCTTCCGATGCGCAGCTACCAGAAATTAGGCAAACGGCAGTCACGAAAGCCTTGTCCACATTCGAAAAAACCATGATCGCATACCCGTGTGGAATCCGCCGGACCAATAAACGGGCGAAGTTACCTTAATGTAGCCAATGCATTCAGTAAGTGGCCCGAGGTCTTAGTTATGTGTGAGACAACAGAGATGGTGTCCAGAGGCTAGCCGTCCCAATAACCGAACATCACATCACCTGGACGGTGTGCCACGTTGTAGCCAATGCATTCAGTAAGTGGCCCGAGGTCTTAGTTATGTGTGAGACAACAGAGATGGTGTCCAGAGGCTAGCCGTCCCAATAACCGAACATCACATCACCTGGACGGATGTGCCACGTGCAGGCTACGGACCAAACGAGGGCACGCCCTGATTAGTCAGAACGCTAGCGAATCTGGATCGAGTATCTTTAGCTCTACGCTTCTCGCCCCTCACGAAGTTTCTATCACAACCTTTTAGAACATTGTGTGATTACTCTATAAATACAGTCGTAATAATTTTCCGTTATCTTCATAAAGGGCTGTCTCAAGTTATTGTGCCCTTTGATATACCACAGTGGGCAGAGCAGGAAGCCAAGGACCAATACTGAGTTGCACGACCGTTCAGCAAGTTACCACCACTAAACTGCGGTATTTGTTTTCAATATTCGGAACCTCAGAGGCCGTTGGGTACGACAGTAGTAAATTCATACTCCATCCGTTTATTGGATTCGTTCAAAGACTTGGAATCACGCATATTGCTTCCCCGCCATTTCACTCGCAGTCAAACAGTTAAGTTGAGAGGTTCCTTGATACGTTCAAACGTGCGCTGAAAAAAAGCAAGAGAAAAATGGACCACGGTAGATGTCCTGAATACATTCCTGTTGAAGTACAAAGCAACTTGCAATCAACAGTGTCCCGACGATCACTATCCAGCAGAGGTTGTGATGAGCGTGCGGTTGAGACTTACAGAGACCTGCCTACAAGCTGGAAGCACAGCTCACCTCACTCTCACTCGTCATTCAGTCAATCCTTGTCATCACCGCAATTGTGCGAAATTGGTTAACGAAACTGCTCAACTTCGGCATGCGTAATATTGAGGGAGAGCGAACTGACGACCAAGCCAGCATAATGGCGTGAGTAAAATCAAGTTACATGCTACAGGAGGAAAGGCGACTCTTAATCGGTGGCTCTGGTAACTGACAGCCACATGATACCACTGAGTTCATGATTAGCTGTACTGAATAATTCACTTTCGGTTACCGCCAACTTTTAGGTGACTGGAGCGTGCAGCATTTACGGCCCACCGTTTCTACCCCATGCTCCGACAAAATGTTCTTTCCATCAGTGTTTCCGCCACTCTAAGTTAGGCCTAAGATCAATAGGTCCGGCTGACTCCGGCCATCGTTCTGAAAAAGAGACACGATCAAAGATTTGAAGATGTGTCAGATCATTCAACCGAAGAAGCAGGTTGCTCAGCCATACAGCAATGCAACCTGCACTATGGTCTGAAACATGAAGCCTCTGGGACTCTGGGAAATGATTTTTTGATATCATGAATAATGCGGCATACTTAACATAATTCTGGTCGTTGGTATCAGTGAGTTGGCCTCATCTGTGATCCTACACAACAAACTCTCCGAAAAATTCTCGTTTTTAAGCTGGTTTCTTCTTATATGGGAAGGGTATGGTGGTTAACGTGAGCTCAGAAAGATGCGTGACGGTCCGTGGGAGAAGTGTTGATGTACTACTAGGGGTTGAGAATAAATACTAAAGAGAGACGGCCCATATCGTGCGTGGAAACAATATGGGGTGAAACCCGCCTCGCAGTGGATCTTATGCCAAGGTGGGAAATAAAAATTCTTCCTTGGTCGATTTGTGATGCAAGAGTTTTAGACTGAGACCCTCGAGGTGACTGTTGTTGCAAGACCTAAAAAAGATCGACCGAGGGTCTGTGAGTGAGGAGGGTTGTAGGTGTACTCACATATCACAAGTGAACAGTTCTGATTGGGGAATTTCCGGAGCGCTGTAGCAATTCCGACAAATTCCTCCGTACGTTTGCGAGCGTACTAACGCCGCGAGCCACACAAGGTTGCAAGATTCTGATACCGGGTGGACGAAAGTGGTGTACAGCGCCGCAAGTTAGGCGATTCTCGGTTGAAAAAGTACCAAGGGAGAGTTTCGCGAAGCTGCTCATCGTCCTGGAGTGCAAAAGACCACCAAAGAGGAAAGAACTGGAAAAATCCACATCCTCCTATCTTTATATTAGGACCGGGAAACCCCGGTCCGGTTATTTGACGGTTATCAGTCGCTTCTTCAACATATAAACGCGTTCAGTCGGTTAACCTTCAGAGAACCAAAAAACAGTTAAATGGTGTTTCTGATGGTGCAAATAGCCACCAATTGGCCATAATTGTTCATTATTAGACAGTTATATAACTTTCACATGATTGGAAAACTCGTCTTTTGGACTATGTGCTGCTAGGTAAGGTGTGGACCGGGGATTGTGTCTTCTTTCGCCAACAAGTGGGACTGAATCAGGGTTTCGGATTGACACAAAGGCTTTCTAGTGTACCGTGGACAAACTGGTTTTGGCCCAGGAGACACATGTATTGATGGAATGCTTCAGAGTACGTGGGTAACATAAGTCCACATTGGGTCACTACAATCATGGATGAGGGCATACCGCCTGCGTCGATGCAAACACTGATCTTTTTGGGAGCCCACTATATGAAAGTGTGTACCTGACGCGCTCAATGGACAAGCTACAGGTAAAACCGAACGCCATCTGAACAATAAGCCCTTGATTTCTGCGTTTCCAACAACGAGCTTCGTTGAAAACACGGGAGAGTTCTAATTGCACAAGGGCACAGATGGTGTTCGCAACAGCCGGGGCGAGTTCAGACAGGCGGGGTGGTTAGTACGACAGGTGCAGATGGAGGGAATGCTCCACTGATTAGTTGATTTCGGCCCGATCTGGGTCTCTATAAGTTGGCGAGCCGGCTACGGATGAGAATATGTTGTTCGATCAGAATCCAACATTTCTGGTTCCGCCATTTTCCCGAAAATCTTATTGTGACCATATTCTGTGGTCTCAACACAAAGAGACCTAAAGTACACCACTTTCGTCTCCATTTAAGACTTTCAAACAGCATAATGTGTGGAGCAACAATGGTTAATGAAGCAGATACGAAACCAACAAATGAGGTTACCTTGGGTACATTGACAATCTTTGACCTGACTTGCCATGCAAGCCACTTAGCCAAGCGTTGCACGTACGGCTGCATATATACTTGAACACTTGAATTGAATGCTTCCCGCATAATGCAAACACGGCTTTTAACTCGAAATCGGAAAATCATTTCTGGAATTCCCACAGGAATCTGCACTGCACCTGTGCGGTTATTGCGTTATACGAAGGATCCTCAGTTGTGTGTTCTTGTTTTCCACAGCACTCCGCACTACTTTGACAGCATGACATGCGAGCACAAGGAACCACACCCCGAGGACCCGCGTGGC